TGTATTTTATCATAACCCAATTTTTTGACTCCTGGGATCCCCCTCAGATTTCGACAAAAAATTTTTTTCGCCGTTCTATCAGAAGTCTTTCTAGTTCGATACTGCTATGTGTGCTGATTACAAATGCCATATTATTTTTCAAAAGTACTCAGATAATAAGAAAAATCTGAAGTACTTTCTGGAAGCCGTAAAAACCAGTTTTTGACCTGAAAGTCCATCAAAATCCGAACTAAGCTAGTCGCAAATAGGCCCATTTGATAGAGAATTTCATTCTCTATCGGAGTCTATAAGAATACCTTAGACATTCGAATTTTTTTCTATCGATAAATTCCAAATACCGCCCCAATTGGGTCATAGTGGCACAAATAATGGTTTTTCGAGTCTTTCGAAATTATAGTTTTTCCGGGTGCACTAGCTTTATTTTCACATTGGATATGCAATATAATGTGTTCTTTCTGATGAGACCATTTTCAACTTGAAATTTGAAGTCTAGTGAAGCACTTTTGCTCTAACTACAATACTTGATAGTCAATTTACCTCTTTTTTGACTAATATTCGGCGGTTTTCGAGTAGAAAGTACTTCGTTTGGCTTTTAAAAAATCTCACATTTGAAATCAGCACAGAAAACTGAGTTGACTTATATACATTTCAAACTGTTTCTAGGACTTTTATTTTTCCGTCAATTGTTCCCCTTGGTCCCCCTCAGGGATGAACGAAAAAATGCACTTCATGAGAAAACGTTTCCGACAGTAGAAAAGCCATTCAGGACTTGTAAAATGCTATTTTTAGAGAGAATCAGAGGTTTCTAGATAATCAAATAGTTATTTTCATGAAGTTCATTTTTCATCCATCCCTGAGGGGATCAGGGGGAAAAATTGAGGAAAAAACGAAAGTCATAGAAACAGTTTGAAATGTATATGAATCGACTCAGTTTTTTGTGCTGACCTCAAATATGACACTTTTTAAAGATTAAATGAAGCACTTCCTGCTCGAAAACCGTCAAATACTAGTCAAAAAAGAGACAAATTGGCTATGTGAGAGCAAAAGTGCTTCACTAGACATCGAATTTCAAGTTGAAAATGATTTCATCAGAAAGAACACGTTTAATTGCATATTCAGTAAAAAAATCAAGCTGGTATACACGGAAAAACTGTAACTTCGAAAGACTCGAAACTTCTTTTCTTGTTGAGATCAATATTGATATTTAACAAAGGTTCTCATTAATCTTGTCCGTGTAGATTTGGAATGTGAACATGCCTCTATCCTTGGTAAAAAAATGAGCCCGTATGGTTTAGCCGTGATGGAGATATTCAACTTTTTCTTTGTATAGTTACTTACTGGACACCCGATATATAGACCTTGAGATGTTCCTAAAAAACCACCTGGATCCCCATACTTTTCATGAGTAAAAAGGTTTTAATTATTACCTCAGACCGTTTTCGACGACATCCCGTCTAACTAGCCTATTAAAATTGAAAAAAAAAACTTTTTCCCTGAAAGTGGTGGAAACCCCACGGATTTACCCATATCTGGTTATGATAACATTTTTTCATTTGATTTTGTATTAGAATGCTTGTAGACGCAAATAAACGCTTGATCTTAACAAGCAGTATTACACAATCTTTATTTATCACGGGGTGTGGGTGTATGTGTGGCTGGGTTGTGTGGGTATGGACCTGTGGGTGTGGGTGTGAGGTGTGGGTGGGTGTGGGTGTGGGGTGCGGGTGGCGAGTGAATATGTAATGGCT